CAGACCAAGGCTATTTTCAAAGTTAGGTCGTGTTGTCCAGGGCTCTGTCCAGTTCACTTCTGAAAATCTCCAAGGATAGGAGTTTCACAGTGTCTTTGTGAAACTTGTTCCAATGCTGAAACATCCTCCCGGACAACATTTTTTTCCCCTGTGACTCTTCCAGGTGCAGTCTGTCTTCTCTCTAATCTCCTTTAGCTAACTGAAGACTGCAAGTAGATTCCCCCTTAGCTAAGGGTTCTCCCCTTGTTCCAGGCTAAACAGGTCTGTTTCCCCCAGCTTTTCCTGATATGCCCCTCTGTAGCCCCCACATCTCTTGCTGGGCAGTAATTTTCCTCTGTCCCATTTATTTAGACAGTCAGGTCTTTGGGATTGATAGTGTCATTTGACAAATGCATGACAGATTGATCAAAGAGGCAAGGGGCACAGATGGAAAACTTTCTCCTCGAAGTAATCCTGTTCCTTTGCCTTGCTGGAGGTCAGAAAGGGGCTGTAAGTAAAGCTGCAGGCTCACTTGGAGACCAGGACAAGGAAGGAGTACACCAATGAGTGCTTGGGTGTCTTCATCTTCTGAAGCAAGATTTGTTACACCTGAGCCATCATTGACAAGCATATCTCCAGTCTCCACCTAAATTGTGCTAATGAAGAAGAGTCTGTGGTATCCCTTATCAGCTCCAAAGCCTCCCTATAACTGCTCTGTTGGCCTAAATCTTTGCTGCAAACCAACCGCAGTTTTTCCTCATGCTTCTCTCTTGGACTCTGAAGTCTTCAGGACAAGCCCTTATGTATTGAAAGGCTGTTAATGCTCTCTCTTAGTTTTTTCTTCTCCAGACTAAACAAACCCAATTCTTTCAATCTGCCCTCATAGATTATGTTTTCCAAAGCTTTTATCGTGCTTGCTCCTGCACCTCAGAGCGCTCCCCAGTTTGTTTACCCATTTTGGACAGTGCTGTGCCCAGCATCCCCAGCTGAGGCGTCCTCAGGGCCAACTGCAGCACAGTCATTTTCTCCCATGCCTGTCCTATGAATCTCTCATTAAAGGGTCCCAATCAAGAGACTTGCCTCTTTTGAAACAGCATGACAGTGTTGACAAAGTTTTTGTCTGCAATCCTGGGAGCCTTTCCTGCAGCAGTGCTCTTTATCCAATTAGTCCCCATTTTGTGTTTGAGTTCCAACACCTCACTGTGGTATTTTGCACTCACTCTTGTGTGATTTCCATCCTGCTGATTTGAGACCAATTCTCCAATTTATTCAGATTGTTTTGAAATCTGCTGAGGCTGCCTTCCCCTCCATGCAGACCCCATGGCTGCAACTCCTCCCAGCTCAGTGGTGCACATGGATGTTATCCTGATTTCTCTGCAATATCCCTGACATTGTGGTCCCTATTATCTCCAGTTCTGTGGTCAGGCAAGCTGCTGAACTGCCTGGGGCAGAAAGCTGTTTACAACAAACACAGTTGTTAACCTTTTGGGACAGTTACAGTGAGCTGCACACCTGCTTGTAGGATGATTTCACCCACCACAGGTTCCTGGTGGTCTATGAGGCAGTATTCCAGGACACCAGAGGGGTTGCTGCTGGGCCGTGGTCACTCTTGATGGTCTTCTGGTAGCAGCACTGGTAAGTGCAAAGGTTTGGGGAAAAAAAGCTTCCTTGTGGTCAACAGCTGTGAAGAATTGAGCTGTGAAAGTTATCCAAAGGGAAGTTTTAGGCGGAAGGATGCATGGAAGGGTTACTTCCCTTTCTTTAGTTTCATAAATACCCAAAATACCCTGGCTAGTTGGGGAGAGGGAATGCATCCTCAGGACTTGCGGGCTCACACCAGCCCTCCTTCGGCCCCATGAGCTCTTGGATGACTACAGGGCCCCATGAAGCACCAGCTCATGCCTGGAACGAGGGGCCTCCCCACAGACTGAGCCTGGAGCAGGACCCCTTCCCCATTGCTCCCTTCGGTGCCTGGCTGTCTCCAGGCCCTGGCTGCCAGGCTGGGATGTGGGTTAGCAGATTTTTTCCACGCTGTTTCTCCGGGATCCCTGACAGAGCCCATCAGAGCTGCCTTTTATCAGCACTGCACGCCTTAGTGAGCCTGTCATGACTCACACACAATGTGCTCTGTGCCAGATTAATCCGGCTGGCTTTCATGCTCAGGATGTGGGCGATGGGCAAGGTGGGGGGGGCATGGGGACAGATGCAGGGCCAGTGGGGGCCCAGGAGATGGGCAGACATGAGGACCGTGAGTACTGAGGAGAAGGACTTAGTTTCAGGATGGTCTGAAAGGACAAAGAGAGAACAAGCCCAGAGGCACAAAAAAGAAAGGAAAACAACAGGTGTGCATGCTGCCTTCCAGCTGCAGGTATTAGTTGCCCTGACTTTTTAACAGGCTCCATGCTGGAAGTTGTGCAGAGGTGTTCATCCCCATCAGTGAATTTGTTTGCACTGTTGCACCCCTAGCTTCAATCCCTTAGCTCTAATTCCCCCTTCCCAGCAGTGTCAGTGTGTCAGTGTTTGGGTCTGATGGAGCCAAGGGTGGGAGGCACCTCTTGCCACATGATTGTCTCCTGCCACCTCTTGAGTCTCTCCAGCTCCTGGCACACCAATCATCCACTCAGCCAGCAGTAATTTATCCCCAACTTCTGGGGTCACACAGTACTAAGTGTGGTTTGCAAGATTTCATGGAGCTCTTCTGCTCCAGAAACTCAACTTGTTGTCAGTCCAGTTGGGATCATGCCAGTATGTTGCTGTGGGTACATGAGAGTATAGTTAGGTGTTCACCTCTGTTACATAGCTCTATCCAACCCTAAGAGAGAGGGAGAGACAGACATTTGCAAATTCAGGTGCAAAAACATTCTTTGATGTTGCTAATACTTTTGATTTAGGTTTGACATTTCTTTGATACATAAACACATCAGTTGAAACAGATCACTTGGGGGGCTTACTGAGACGGGTATGTCTGAAGCCATGGTCCATGAACTGAGGGAAGACAGTGTCTGTAGCTCATCTTTCATCTTTTATCTTTTCTGGACTGCAATTCCAAAGTAATTAAAATTTCTCAAAAATGTATTGGTTATGAAATGGATGTCTTCAGAAAGGGCTGCCATGAAAGTCATCCCTGAAATATGAGGCAAGCTTGAGGAAAGCTGCCCGCTTTCATTCCAAAGTTAACTGCATGCCACTCAAATATGGAATCTCTTTCTGCTCATTTGTGGAAAGTATTTGCCCCTGAAATAAAGACCTGTGAAGCTGAGCTATGAGAAAGAGTTTCGTATACTATAGGTAGAAAATATCCAGTAAATTATGTTCCCTCCATAGTTAATTTCTGTGAGTACAATTTTCTGAGTCTGTTTAGCATGTCTCCTAAATCATGTCCAAACTGTGGTGATTCAAGAGGAGTGTAGAGAAGTCATATTTTTGTCTTCCAGACTTTCTTTGGAGCAAGTATCCCCATGACATGAGCTGCAACCTGAATAGTGCCACAACAGCTCAGAGGCACAGAGGAGGGAGCTTGACCTGCCTTCTTGGTGTGCTGATGCACCTTGTAGGACAGCATTATGGACACTGCTGCTGCCTTTACTGCTGGCACCTACCTAGTGGGAATGCCGAAAAGAGCCGGGCAATTACACCCTGCAGAGCTAAACAGGGTGTTCAGGCTATTTTGGAAGTCTTCCTACAGGGCATCACATTGGGGTTTGGAGCTATTGGTCCAGCACCTGGTTAAATAGCCTGGTTACTTTTTATTTAAAGAGCTATAAATTTGCTCAGAGGGCCCTGACCTGCACTGACAACTTGGTTAATGGTTTCGAGGTATGCAGAATGGAAATCAAACATTACCAGGTCTTTCTGAAAAAAGACATATGTTTCACATCGTATGCAATATAAAGAAAAAACAGGAAAATGCAGGAAAGTTTACATATTTCTTGCCAGTTAAAGGTATTCAGTTGTGTAATACATCACCACATAGCTCTTTCTCATTGGTTGATTGTTCCATCTTCAGTCACCAAGTAATGAGGATTTTCATTCATCTTCATTAAATGCAGAATGGAGAACCTGAAGTGGTTCATTCTTCAAAAGCTGCTCTTCTATTCTACTTTGGCAGCTTTTTCCTTTTGCTTTCCTCAGGTGTAAGGCCTTGATTTAGCAAGGTGTTTAAACATCTCTTTAAGTTTAAACATATAATTTAGTTTATTCCTACCCGGCAGCGCCTCTAAGCATGTTCTTAACCATGCACTCCAGTTGCAGTGAAGTAAAGCAAGCAATTAAGCAGGTGCTTTGCTGAAGCAGATCCTAAATGACTACTTAAGTCCTTTGTAAAAAGGAGTATAAATCCTCCTCCTGACAGGGGTGGGAGTGGGGATGGATACGTTTTATTATCATCCTCCTCTTTAAAGCTTGACTTCGTCTTGCAGACTGCCCGGGTCCTTCCTTGGGCTGGTAACCAGCTGGTAAGTGGCTGTTACCTCTGCGAGAGCTGTGACCATGTACGAAAAATTCGGATTTACAGCAACAATGACACGATCATCATCCGTTTTATGGAAATGAAAGCTGGTGGCAGGGATGTTGGGAGCTGGCTTGTGTTAACCCAGGCAGGGGGAAGACAGCAGGGCTGCCCCAGTTTACACCTGCTGAGGATGGGGGCAGCAAGGGAGGGAAAGGTTTACCCTGGTTTTGTTTCACACCACACCACCGTCTTCCCACGGGGGCCGCGAGGCCCTTCTGCGGTCACCGTGCTGCTTGGAAAATGAACACTGTCTCTGTTTAATTTTAATGCAGCCCATTAACTAAGCTGCCTCACTGCACTTTGTCCATCTGGGTCGTCCCATGCACGCCAGAGTTTCCCTTTCATATTATTCCCCATCGATTCAGGAGGCCCTTTTGACTCACCCCCCTTCCCTCCTCCTCTCCCCAGCCCATCAACATTGTGTTGCTCAGTCCTGGAGCACAAGCCGCAGCCATTCCTCGCGTTCCACTGCCAACACAGAGAGGCAGCAACCTGTGCAGAGATAAGTTGCACAAGTGTTCACCCCACCACCACCGAAAGAAATAGCCTTTGCTGCCATAAGAAGGGCAAAAAGCACGATGGAGGGAGGGAGCACAGCTGTAACAGTGCACACTTGTTAACCAGGAGAAAAAAGGGGTAGGGAGGAGGAGGAGAAGGAGGAGGAGGAGGAGAAGGAGGATGGATGTAGCAACAGCAAGGGCTTGGTCGGGAAGGGGGCTGGGGGCAAGGGAGGCAGCCAGACAAGTAGAGTCTCTCTGCTGAGGCCATCAATTATAGGGCCTGGGGCCTGTTTGTTGCCGTTGTTGGCAGCACGGAGAGTTGGGGTTTGCTTTTTTTCTTTCTTCTTCTTTTCTTCCTTTTTCTTTTTTTTTTTGTGAGGTCTGGGCTGCAGCTCAGCCAAGGAAGGCTGGGGGCGGGGAAGGAGGGGTGAATACGGGATTTTGCCCAATCCACTGACTCTCAATGGACGCTCCAGGCAACACTCAAGGCGCTGTGAGGCAGCACTGTCCCGAAGAAAGGAACCTTCGTGGGCTGTGGTGGGAAAGCAAGCAACAGGAGGCATCCCTCCCCACCAGGTGAGCGGGAGTCAAGCCGGTCTCCCCCCACTTCAGTCCTATTGCCCAGTTAAGCACTGGGGATGCTGTGGAGATTTTGGTCCCTGAGCTCAGGCCAGTCAGTTGTGCAGCACTTTAAGACTGAAATGGGTAAATAGAGTGTACAGAGCAGACCTTTGGCTGGGAAAGTGATGGTCTACGCCAACTGGGGCTGTACGTGTACTGGGGCTACACGTACACATATGTGTGTGCATATATATATATATATATATATATATATATATATATATATATACACACACAACCCTGCATGGAATGTGGGCTGTAAGGCCAGTGGCACTGGTGGCGACTGTGACTTTCCAGCCTGGGCCCTCATGGTTCCTTCCCTGCGCCTGCCATCCCTGGCTAGGTGATATCATCTCTTCCAGGGAAACATCTGGTCCTGATTTCAGGCCTGCCGGTGACTGAGCCACCGCTGGCTTTCTAGGCAATGTGCCCTACAGATTAATTACTTTCACAGTTGAAAACGTGCACCTTGATTTTCAGTCTGAATTTGTCTGGCCTCAACTGCTGGCAGCTGGTTCTCATAAATGCCCTTTTCTGCCCGATTAAAGAGCCCTTTGATATCAGGAATCTTTCTCTTTCTTGAAATGCCTGTAGATCAAATCACTCCTTGGAAGAACCAGAGTGATCATGCCTTTTTAAGCTGCACACCATAGGGTGGGTTGTCTGACTTCAAACCTTTCCAGATTAAGCCATGTGGCATTAAATATCCTTTGGCATCCACACCTGTTCCTGCATCCTTCACAGGCACCAGGAAGGGCTGCCTGGCAGCCCAGGATGCTTGATGCCTTCAAGATGGCAGACACAGCCACGTGTGGAGCGGCGGAGAGCAGAGACTTCGGGAGAGACCTGACAGATGCATTTGGCCATGGAGGGGCTGCTCCTCAAGTGTAAAAACACTGATGAAAATAAATTTGCTGCTTTTTCTGCTGCTGAGGAAGTCATGGCATGCTGAATGGGTCAGAGCAATTGAGGCTCATCACTAGTGCGAGGGTGGGAGGGAGACAGCAAACCGGCCAGCACATTGTGTACCAGAAGCCTTGGAGAAACAGATTCATTTCTTGGATCAAAGGATGTTTAGCCACAATAGTTTATATAGGGTGAAAAAAATTGTTGGCTTGCAACATTTATTTTTCAGATTTTAAATTTTTGTGGTAGTATGGCATAAAAGGGAAAAGCTCACAAAGTGCAAAAAATAGCTTCCTGCCCAGCTTTGCAATAAAAATATGTTTGTATTAGAGAGGATCCTGCAGAAATTCATCTTGTATGAAATGGAAAGGAGAGCCGTGTTGTATCTCTATGCTATTACATTTTATAGCTTTTGTTTGTTTGTTTGTAAGCTCTGCAGCCCAGTATCACTGCTGTGTTTATCAAGCCCAAAGCTCATGTAGAATGGCATTTCCATGCAGCTCTGCTTGCTTGCTGGAGTGGCATAGTCTGTAACATGCATAGCCTAAGATGCTGAGGCATTGCTACTCTATCATACCTAAAACTCTCTGGGATTATAACTAGGTGAGACTACAGCCAGTTAGGTACAACCAGCCCTGGTTAAAGCAGCTGGGGAACACGAAACACTGTCCTTGGCTAAGTAACTTGCAAAAGGTCACCCAGAGCATCTGTGGCAGGGCAGGACCTGTACCCTGATTCTTTTAACTCTGCCTCCTAATCACAGAACCATCTCCCAGGTGGAGCCACTCCTCAAGGGCCCACCTTGAGGCAAAGGACCAGGCAAAGCTGTCTGTGCAGCCTCTCCCACTAAACTGCATCTCTAAAAAAATTATTGATCTCTCACAATTGTGCATTTTAATCATAGCTACAAGTCTTAAGGTGAGGGCAAAGCAGGCCCCTACTCCCCACCTGCTGAGTCTGAGAAGTAAATCCACAGGGTATCTCAGAAGGGAGCACCACAACAAACTAGTCCAATGCAGACCACAAAACTTTTAATCAAAACCTGGATTAAAATTCACCTTTCAGAAAGATTTAATTTCTTTATGGACTCAGTGCAGGCTCCAATTCTGCAAACTAAAGCAAATGCTAAAAGTCTCTTTCACCTGGCCAACTAGGACCGGTGAAGTACTCCATCCCACTGGGGTGCTGACTGGTAGGATATTTCCCTTAGGCCTGTATCTCCATCAGGAAAACTAGGGAGAGCGCTTGGCTGTTCAGACATCAAACCTCTTTCTTCCTGTGTGTTGCTCAGCGCTAATGGGAATGGAAAGGAGAAGAAAGATCTTTATTGCCTCAAATCCTCCTACCCCTTGTCCCAGTCCCAAGGGTCCTGTGTGATATGAGATGTGTTTGCCTTTCATCCCTGCCTGAGAAACTCATGTTTCAGCATTAGCATGCAAGACAGAAGAAAGCCAGCATTTCTTTGGGGCTACTCCGGGAGGATTTCATCCCAGAGTTCACTTCTACTTTTTCCTTACTTCACTTTTTCCCCAATGTTGACTGCAGCAGGAAACCCCGTCAGTTTTATAGAATCATAGAATCAGCTGGGTTGGAAGGGACATCTGAAATCATCGAGTCCAACCCTTGATCCAACAGTGCCATGGTTACTAGACCATGGCACTAAGTGTCACATCCAGTCTCATCTTAAAAACCTCAAGGGATGGAGAATCCGTCACTTCCCTGGGCAGCCCATTCCAATGTCTGATTACCCTCTCTGTAAAGAATTTCTTCCTAATATCTAACCTAAACCTCCCCAGGCAGAGCTTAAGAGCCCTCTTGTCTTACTGAGAGCTGCCTGGGAGAAGAGACCAACCCCTACCTGGCTACAACCTCCTTTCAGGTAGTTGTAGAGAGTGATGAGGTCTCCCCTGAGCCTCCTCTTCTCCAGGCTGTTTGTTACCTGCTCACCCCTCAAGGTGGTGAACTGGATCTCTTGACTCTGTCAGTGATGCACTTAGACATGGTGATAAGCACCTCTCACCAGAGGCTGTTTTCGGCAGCTCAGGTACGAGATGCTCTATAGGGTGGATGGCAAAGGAGGCATGTCTCACCTGGTTAAGAGGTGTTAATTAAAGTAGCTATTTTGACTTTTTCATGCCCTGACATTCTTTTGTCAGTGTGATGAGAGCACATGTGACCCAAGTGGCCTCCCATGAAGCACTCTGTGAGATCCACTCTTCACCATCTCCCCTTCATCATCGTCTCCCACCCACCTCAGTGCTGCTAATGCATTTCCATTATTTATGAGACATGCCTTGGGGTTTCCAGTTCAGCCTTTCAAATTCACTCTCCTACTGCATGTTGAAGTCCATGGTCCAGAAGTCAATATGGTTCAACACTCAGCTACCAAACACAGATCTCTTGAACTTTTCCTTTCTAGCAAGGTTTGTTTTAAAGGAGCAATATGTGATCATTGCACATGGTTGTATGTACAAATAAAAAGTCTCAAGTTCTGGATTAACAGCAGTGGAAACAAGTGCCTTCTCAGGTTGGTTGTAAAAATATATAACATACCATCAGCAGTAACATGGACCAGAATCCTGTCAAAAGAGAGAAAAGAGAATTAATCTTTTCAGATGCAACACTCTCTTACTTTGAGTTTACCAATGCAGCAGCCAGATGGTGCCTATCATGACAACAGGTTTCTTTTGCCTTGCACAAGGAAAAAATATGAGACACAATCAGTGCATTTCCCATGTGCCCTCATCTGACAAATCCTCTGCTCAGGGGTACACAGCATTTTGTTAACAAGTTCTCATTATATGAATAACACTTTAAGCTGCAGGAAAAGTAGGTTTGAACTCACTGTGGTGAGTTCACTCATTGCAGTACTGCTCTGTAGGGAAATGGGCCTTTTTACAAGGCCTGCATTTGCTCGCTGACAGAGGAGGCCCAGAGGAATGCTTCCTCACCAGACATCAGCCAGACCTTAGCTGGATGACCTTATGGCTCGCAGACAGCAGTTTTACTAGCACATCCAAAATAAACCTATCCTTTGTCCTCATGCAGAAACTGTACGGAGGCTGTTTCATTTAGAAGCTGTTCCTTGGACAGCTTATTCCTCCAGTGGCCTGAGAAGGCTGTCAGCTTCTCCTGTGAACTATTTACCACATCTGCCCTTTGTAACACCAAGTTTTTTTGCTGCCTTGTTCCCTCTCCACCACCCACAGCATGAAAATAACAGTGCACACCCAATTTAAGCCACGCACAACTCCCCCAACATCTTCCACCAGCCTTCATGGATGTCCATGGATTTTTCCACTCTGAGTGCAGGTTTCTCATTCCCACTGTAATTGCCCAGAGCTTGTTGTCTAAATCTGATTTTGAATTAGGCAAGGGTCCATGATTCCATGTCAATGCCAAACTGTGGGTGGGAGCAGAGGGAAGGATTTTTTTTCCTAGGGATTTGAAATCTCTTCTTATGGTGTTTCTGAAAGATTTCATCTCTCCAGGAAGCAGAAGTCTCTCGAGATGAGCTGTTTGTGCAAAACTCTGCCGTGTGGGCTTGAGCTGGAGGCTTCAGATGCAGCCAAACCAAAAGACTGCTTTTTTTCTGGGTTGGGTCCAGTCACGATCCAAACTTCAGGGGAGGATTTTGGTCCAAGAAATTGAATCTGAGCAGCTCTTATCTTCAAGTGTTTCAGATGAAAGGATTGCTTGAGTCCAAGAAGGCGTGAGAAATGCAGTCACCCTGACTTAGTTGTGCCTCCAGGCAGAAGACGTGGTAGGACAGTAAGAGAAGCTGCTTATGGCTTATGGTGGGCGCTTGATGAAGTGACTTGACAAGAGACACACAAACAGCCTATAGCAGAGACAAGGAAAAGATTATCTAAGTACTGTTTTGTTATCCCTCTTTGATCCACAGAGACTACTTTGGCTGGGCCAAATCCACAGCTGGCCTAAGAGCCTTCATATTATCCAAATGTCTAGGAAAGATACAAACATAGAGATCAAGTTATGATCTCTATGAGTGAGCCCCATTTCCAACTGGAATTTACAACAGGAGCCGAAGCTGGGGTTCGCATGAAATACATCCCGTTTCACATCCCTAAAGCCAAAGCCTGGGTTGGATTTTCTTCTATACCAAATATCAAGGCTGAAAGCGTGGGAATGCCTTCTCTTGAAATATATCTTATTTCCACGGTCTGGCTAAAGAGGTCCCTCACTCCCAAACCATTACGGCCTTTGTTTCTTTCCTAAATCTCATAGCACCGACGTTTGCCGTGAAATCACTGGGTCAGCATCCCCCTCCTGGCTTTACTCCCCCATTCACTGTGAGCTTGCTGCGTTACACTCCAGGTTACACACAGAGAGATGAGCTGAGAATGCCCGGCAACGGCAGATAAAATGCCGCCATGTGAAACCCACACTTGTTGCAGAGTCGTGTTTTAACCTTGTCCCACCCCTCCCCTTCCAAGAAGCCAGCCTGGGTGGGAAAGTCGAGGAGAAATAAGATGTTACGTTCATCCCGGGGAGCTGAGAGACGGGGGATTTGTAACTGGAGACCGGGATGAAGGCGGGGGAGAAAGAAACACGCAGAGATATTGATGACCCCCTATCTCGGCAGGTCGGCGGTGCCCGGTGCCCCTCTCGCAGCACGTTTCGCATCTCCCGGCGCCGTGCATCCCCGTACGTGCATGTCCCTGCATGTGCGCGGGCGGTGGGACAGGGGGGGCGGCTTAAAAAGCCTCGCTGAGAAAGGTATTTCTTGTGGGGAGAAAGACGCGGGGGGGGGGGGGAATAGAGGGCAGGCCCCCTCGCTCCCCACTGAGTCCATTTCTCCTGCTTTGCCGGAGCTGTCAGCCTTGAATCCCGGTGGCGTCCCGTAACTAATTGACAGCAATGGGGGCCTTTGGGAGCCGAAGAATACGCATCCTTGCTGGGCGAGCGCTGGAGCAGGGGCTGC